GAAACTCGACCGTATCTGTATGCACGTCTATCACATGAGCTTATGTGTCTCCCCCTCTCTCTCTCCCTGTTGCAGGTACCATGGTCGAACCACCACGAGCCCCGGACACGAAAGAATAGCCGCTTGTACAACCCCCCGGACTGACCTTGACCAGCCCCCTCTGATTATACACCCCCTTCTTCCGGTTTCGGTTCGGGTTAATACACGTGCGTTGTTGCTACACTCCGGTCTTCTTCCCTGTACCACCCGACCTGTGCGCATGTGTGCTGTGTATACTATGTGGATTCACTAACACCAGTTCGTATGCACGCACATTTCAGAACTGAAGTGTGCCGTCCTCTCGAACGTCGAATACCGCTGACTTCCTGACATCCCACGCTACAAAAACTCTTATTCCGGCGCTGACTTCCTGACATCCCACGCTACAAAAACTTTTTCTTATTCCGGGCAGTTGCTGCGTGGAATAACCTTCCTCCAGCTGTTGTCCACACTACATCTAGTGCTCAGTTCGGACTACTGTTAGACGCTTTTATTCTGCGAACCCTCGCGCTGGTAAGCTTACTGTTCCGCGCTGAGAAATTAAACAGCAGTGCTACACCCTTTTTCGCATGTACCGTTCACGTGGACTGCGACCGGAACGACGAGAATAAAACCGACCCGGGAAACTTAGGCGAAGGCTTCGATCCTTTGTATCAATCAGTGGATCCGTGAAAAGCCAATCGGGAACGAGCAGTTTTAGCTCAACGACTTATCCCCCGTCCTGTCATTTGGGACTAACCTATGCTCACAACAGATACGGTTGGAGAGCAGCGGCCTGACTGAAGAGTGGGTGTGAATTGGGGGACTGCACTGGAAGTGTTTGATCAACGATTGTTTGATCAACGTTCAAGGCGCATGTGCGACGCATGGAGTTGGTGATCTACGGGAAACCGGAGACTGTCTTGTTCGTATGCTCTTTCGAGGTAGACCAGCTGTCGCGTGTACCCTGGTACCTGGTGCGGCTCGCCGGTCTATTTCATTTCGTTTGGTATTGGGGCCAAGATGGCTCGGTAGTTAGGGCACAAAATTATGGACGGGAAGGTTCGTGGTTCGAACCCAATCCCCCTGTCTAGGCTGGACCAGCTCCCAGGATTCCTTTGGGTGGTGTGGCAGTTAGGCACCGAAAGAGTGCTACAACTGAGCAATTTTTTACTACTCATCCCGCGGTTTGCATCCACAGAGATGGCAGCTACCAACGCCACCGAGTTGAACGGTAAGAACTTTTATGCTTCGTTGCTAAATCATGGTCGCCTCACGGTCGTCTCCATCCGAAATAACGCTTGGTGCCGGTAGGTTTACGATGCAAGCGGTCCTCTGGCATATGAAGTACATGGCCCAACGGCGTAAACTATGGAGTGTGACCAAGTGATCTATAGATCACTTAATATATTAAGGGAGAGTGTACTTCCAAGGAAGCCATCTGGCGCACCTCAGTAGTACTGGTTTGGTATTCCCATTAGACCCGCCCGACCATCCGGAGGCAACGGTTGTCAAACACCTCACCGGAATGGTGCTACTGCCGAAAGCTACTTGGAGCGCAGTGATGCAAATGATGAAGATTGCTCGGAGGCTGAACGGAAGCGGGTTAAAAAACGTATGCTCCCAGCTTTCAGAGTTGTCTGTCCAAGCCCACTGACTCGGCCGAATGAAAATTGGATATAATCGAGACCAGCATATATTATTGTGGCCAGAAAGGCCATACCAGAAATTAGCGACTGCGATGCTACACCGGACAATCAGGAGCTTGAAGAATGAGAGAATGCTGGTGGATTTCGAAGGCTTTCGCTGCAGGCGCCCTATTTCAGCTGGGTCGATCAATCGGTCAAAAGACGGAATGACAATTCACTTCCTCAATCGCCGTCTTGAGCGGTGGAATGAAAGCTTCGAAGAACAGTTCAGCTGGCCTCCTTCAACACAACCACAAAGAACCCAGCGGGCCTGATTGGAATATCGACACCAACCCACCATCAACAACTGCGTAAGATATCAATAAAAAAAATCGCCCAAATGTAACACCCTTCCGGTGCCTACCTGCCATACTACCCGAAAGAAGCATGAGGGCTGGGATACTGCCAGGTTTCTCAAGCCTAGACAGGGGAAGTCGAGAGGCAGAGGTCGAATTCGAACCGCGGACCTTTCGGTCAGTAAATTCGCGCTCTAAACCATGAACCATCTCGCCCCGCAAGATATCAATCTTGAAGCATGACAAGGTACGTGACACGGATAGTCCGTACCCCGCATCGTTCAAAGGTGTCGAGGTCCCGATGGACAACCTAACGTCCATACTACAGATGATTTGGAACGAAAACAGAATACTAGTCGAATGGAGCTCTTGACTGCCATCCCAGTTTTCAAAAAGGGCACAAGAACATCATGCACAAACCATCGTGGCATCAGCCGTTGCACCTAACGTGCTCTCTAGTATTATTTTGCGTAGGTTGATGGATCATCGCGAGAGATTCGTAAAACTCAAGCTGGGGTTCGCCATGGCCGAGGATGCACCGACCATATCTTTACATTGAAACAGTTCCTTGAACAGCTTCACTCCTTCAAACGTCCCACGTTGGTTGTATTTATTCATTTGAGAAACTCTGGCGATGTCTGGAAATCAAAGGTGTCCCTTCCAAATTTATATCCCTTTTAAGGACACTGTATGCGAACTCCTATGGGCGCGTGCGAGGAGTTTGTGTTGCTGGTTCGTTGCGCCTTCCATAATGGGGTCCACGTGACACCTCCTGCGCTTGGCTGGAGACATTGCAAAAAGTGGCAGCTGATTGATGTCAGTGGCGTTCATGCTGTCAGTTTCCTTCTAGGTTACCGGATTGGGCGCTTGGAAGTGTAGGCACCTCAGAATTCTTGCGATAGACCATCACCAGGTCCCCTACCTCACCCAATCTTTTCACTAGTACGACTTTGAATATAATTGGATAAACTCTGGGGTTGTACGACAGTGTACACTCAGTGTCAACACTGATGTTTCTGCCTCTGATCATAATGATCGCATCTCTGACACTTCACTCTTCGGGTGTTCGGTGATCCTGATGCAGTGGCTCGTGGGTTCTACGGTGTGGGTTTATGGTCAGCCTCAGGGCCGAGTGCGCCTGACTGGATTGGATTCCAGTAAACAGTTGCCTTTTCACCGCTAGGTTGACTGGTTCAATCAGGATCAGTGCATCTTGACGCGGTGAACGGTGTTTAGTTGTTGCGTCAGCACACGCTCCTAGCTCTGAGGCAGAGATATGTCTCGGTTACTTCCGTCAGCGGAAAGTACAGATGTTGTGTTTCTGGCAGGTGATGTGGATGCCCAGGTCGGCCGAATAAGTCCTGAGGAAGCCCATCCTGGTGGCCGATTTGGGATTATAGATCACCGCACATATAGTGAGGAACGACTTCTTCACTTATGTGCTGAACATCACTTGTCTCTAGCCCACGCTAGCGCTCACGCAATGTGATTCGGAGGCCACAAAAGCAAACCACCTTGGACTCAATTGGATCATGTGGCAATCAGCTTCCGGTAGGGAGCTTCGATAGGGAGTTGTCAATTACCACTGGACACCGATCAGGACATTGTGAGGGCATACGTATCCGTTTGATTTTCCTCTAAAAAACGTCGGTCGATGCAGTGTCATTCAGTTCACCTCTGCAAAGCGTCTCTGTAGCTCAGCAACATCAAGTTCAGTTGGCTGAAATGCAAGAACCCGTCGGTGATGGTGATTTGGATGAGGACTAGGAAAAGAAGAAATTATGCCTACAGTCTGGCACTGTCTGTTTGAGGTCGCCCACACACACCAAAGAACACTGGATATTGTCACGATCAGCAGCTCTACTTGAGACCAGGAGAACTATGCCAGCAACATGGGGCCATGATGGCAGGCGCAGACCCTGCAAATACCGAATAATGAAGAGCCTGGGGATTAACAGAGAGCGCCGGTGGATCGCAAAAACCCGAGAAATGGAAAAAAACTTGCAACGGGAAACGATCGCTCCCTGTTCTGGCCAATCTAATCAACTGGTCCGAGGATGGCATGCGTTGTCAAAACAATCTCCGAAAAAGGTGAGACTTCCATCTATTAACAGAAACTTCTTGAACGATGGACTGAACCCTTTGAAGAACAGTTCAGCTGTTCTTCATTAACTCATCTGATAACCTTAGTGGATCTTCGATATCAGTCCGCAATCGACGGCGGCAGTCTAGCATGCAATTGAATTGCTTTAGCGTGATATACCACTTGGTCCAGATGGCTTACATGCTGGACTCCTCAAAGAAGATGACGAGTCTTTGGAGGCTATCCTGACGAGATATGCCAAATTGTTAGAGCGCGAATTTACTGACCGGAAGGTCCGTGGTTCGAACCCGACCTCTGCCTCTCAACCTACTCTGTCTAGGCTTGGGCGACCTGGTAGCATCCCAACTCTCGTGCCTCCTTCGTGTGGCATGGCAGCTAAGCACCGAAAGTGTGCTACAGCTGAACGATTATTATTAATTATCCTGACGACTTTACCCTAAAGAAGATCTGGAGTTTCGAAAGAATACAGACAGTCACAACCTACAGTGTGGTCGACGCGGACTCTACCCGGTCGAACTCCCGCTGGACGCTCACGGGTCAAGGACCCGCGTGCTGACATAGGACTTAAAAGAATCTGATGGCAGAAGCCTTGTTACAACGGGAGTCAATTTAGCACTGTGGTTACTACATTCCCTGTGAGTACCCTTTTCGAAAACAACCACTACTATCGACTCTTCTCAGTTTTCTGGGACAGTCTATTCCTCCCAGGTAGACACAAGTAAGCTAGACAGGCACTGACTAAGAAATTCACTCCCATTGTTGAACAGAGCGAGTGTGAGGTCGTGAAGACGAGATTTATGATGACGCGTGAGTAGAGATGTACACTCGGATGCTTCTAAGCCTGAAAGTTGGACGATCAATATTAACAGTCCGCCCATCTGTTATAGGCCGGCGATGCTGATTGGAGGTAGCAGGTGCCCAATTGAAGTACTGTGCCCAACGGTCCAACCGTTCTCCCTCACTGGATATGGGAGAGCAGTTTTGGGCCCTAATAGTTTCGTTGACAAGAATATTACGAGGTCATTCGAACTAATTAGGTGGAACAGTCTGCGGGCGTTTTCAGCATTTTTCGAACCTTCCAGGTCTTTGGCCTTTCGGTTACGCCATGCTTTTCGATCTGCACGGACACTCAGTTTCACCTGGGGTTGGGTGATGCCCCGAAGGCAGTTGTGTTTGCGGCCGGGAGGAAACTGTCGGTATCTTTCAAAGTCACGGTCCTACCAGAGGTCGAGTGTTTGGATGAGGTTGACTGGGTTGTGCCGCAAGCAGCAGCCCCGGCTTTGAGTAGCACTTTAGATATCGGTTCCAACGGCTGTTAGTCTCCGACATCCGACTGTCTGACAGGTGCTGGAGGAGCAGGTTCTGATAGTTTCGTTTGATTTATGGATCCACTAGCTTCTCAATGGCTGAGCAAGGTGTGAGCGTTTTGAGTAAACCTGAAAAGCGCAATGAAAATCAGCGGCGGACAAGCGCATGGTCGGAGTCTACGCTGGTATTCCAGGAGGCAGTGATCGACCCACGCCACCGATGTGGTCAATTCAGACCCGGAGTGGTTGGGGGGCACCACGTTGTAAATGATTTCCATTGTTCCGCGAATTGATGCTGCGTAGGGACAGTCTGTGATCGGCACACATCTGAAGCAGGCGCTCTTCGTTGTCCGTGAGTCTCGTATCCAATCCGAGAGAACCACACTTAGTCTACCTACCTGAGCATGCATGTCCTCAGCAACCATAACGATATCTAAGCTTTTATCCCGTTGTGAAAGAACACCCAGGGCGCCATAGAAACTCCTTGGCAGATTCAAAGCTACAGTCCGTTGGAGCTTAAACAGGTACAATAAACAGTGTGAGATGGACCATAATTTATCGAGATTCCTTCACAGACGTTGCCAAACGAACAGCACACTGGCGACTGTCAACGGGTATGAAGTCGAACGGAGTGGCTACCGCTGTACCACTCAATACAATACCCATGTCGGCATATCCAACTGCATTGGATTCCGCACTATCAGAGGTGCGCAGCCGAAACCTAGAAGAGAGCGAGGGGACGATCAGTTCAGTCACAGTACTTGCGTCCTCTGTCAGTGTTTCTGACAGACAGCATACATCAGTGCAGAGGGAATCCAGCGTACGAGCAACAGCCACTTATCGTCCAACTTGCTTTTAATGTGCAAACAACTTAAAGTAGCTAAATGAATGGCTATCGTGGTTTGGAAGCAGACTTCTACTTGTTTAGGGCTGTTACTGAAGTGGAACATACAGATGCTACAACTGTGTGTGATGGACAGCAAACAAAGCGGTCAGTCCTAGCGTTGGGACCTGCGGAGAGAGTATTAAAATATGAGTGGGGTAGGATGGAAGGGAGAAAACGTGGAGTGTAAGAAGGGAGGCGTTAGTAGTGGCATGTTTTCGCTCACCTGCTGTCCTGTATGCAGCAAGTAAGGTGACCCGGCTGGTGACACCACGCGACGGCCGATGTGGAATAACAGTATTGTTAGTTAGTTGTATGTTGGCTGGGATGCTACCAGAACCCCCTGACTTAGACAGAAGGACGATTAGGGTCCTCGACCAAGACCTTTGGCTCACAAGCCTGATCACAAGACAGTGGTATTTGGCAGGAAATGTAAGTGCATCATCACTTTCAAACCGCCATACCTTTAAAAATCCAACCTGTCCGGGCCAATCTGGTGTGAGACTGTTGAGTGCCGCACGGACACCATCCAGTATAGCTTAGTGGGTTACAGGGGTACACAAACCGCCACGCCGCGGTATGATCCAGTCTGTTCGTGACGGACCTTGTTCTCAGGAGCCATCAAGGTGGTGCAGCCCATGGTAAATAGTTGGATACCCGATGGAGGCTATCCTCTTGATGTTGTTCCATCGAGCGATATCCCAGAGAAACTAGAAGAAACACTCATAATCGAACTAACAATCTACGCCGCAGTCGGTAGGTAGATCTTCTGACCCAGAGAATCAGCGCTCCTCCCTATGTAGTTTCGACGTAGTTGGAAGTTCTCAACAAGCCTAGGAAATTCTGTGTTTATTTTCAGGTTTATGGCATTCCGAATAGGGACTTGTCAAGGTCAGCTGTTATGAAAGTTATTAAACCAATCACTTGGTGGTTTTTCATTGACTCGGCCTGTGACGGGACAGAAAACTGCACATAGTTTGATCCAAACAGTTGGGCGCACCTCCATCACCCTTCTGTTCTGGTTATGGGAAGATAGGACAATGCGTGTTGTACGATCACTTGCAAGCCAGAAAACGTGTGCAAGCTGGCCTACCTAATCAGCTGTCGGTTGGCACAGCAGAGCAACAAAAACAGCAAGCAACTGTGAAACATGGACTATAGCTAATCGGTTAACACAAATTACAAGTTGGTTTCAATAAAAATGATCTTTCTTTTTCCGAGGGATGCCGTCTGGTCATAGAATATTTCTACGTGGCAATTTTCGTTGCTCAGCTGCCTGGATTTTATTGTTTCAGCACATACCCTTAAAAGTTCCAGCGTTCGTCGAATTTACCTCATGCTTGGCTCATTCCAAGTAGATCTCCTCCCACGTGAGCTGCCTCATACCACAATCATCTCATGTTTACATGACGGAGCCGTGTTCAGAGGCTCACAAAAGTCGAAAGGAAAGGAGTACGAGGTTGAAGTGACCATTCAGGTGAGGTATCACCACCACTTACTAACATTCTGCACTCCAGGCTGTCCGCCTGCCTCAAAAATGGTTATGTGGATATCTGAAGATGGACAACCTTACTAAGTCCAACGCCAGCTTAACCACATATTTTGAAGGTGAAATCATTAGCCGAGTGCATCCATTTATCACCGGTAAGTGGGATGCGTCGGTGGAAACTGATGTGGCGCATTGGGTAAGTTCCGTATTGTTTCCATTTATGTTGTTTTCTGAAGCGGAAAATAGCAAATGGTACTTTGCCAGACCAGTTTGACGATGATTCTTTTGACTATTCACAGTTGGAGATGTCAGACACCATTTTTATGCGTTGGAAGGTGACCCCTGTCCTCCGCTTCATTAACAGTTGACACACAGGAAAGGTTTTTGTTACCCGACCCACGTGTCAAAGAAGTGGACGGCGCGTCTTATGCCGGGTTTTACTACATCGGTTTGAAGAAATCCACAGGAGAGATCACTGGCTTCTACTATCATCTGGATTCTGAAAAGTATGTCCTGACTTGTTCATTCCAATACGTTCTAATGATAGGTTCCAAAATCTGCAACTCAAATACAGACCAGAGGATGTGCCGTCAGTATTTCAGCTCCGCTGATCTGTTATACAACAGTCTCATACCTACAATGTCTACCGAGAATGTCGGTAGTGTGATAGTGTACTTCCCCCAACGGAGCACGCCCTTCTTCCTCTTTTCAGGATACTTCACTAATTTTGCAGTGTGTACAGAATAAATCCTACTGCTTTTCAATAGTGATTTTACAGTATCTAAGTCGTTGGAGATCTGTTTATTTTTGTGGTAGTTGGGTTTGAACTAGCAGACTTTGTCCCAACTGTTGGGGCATTGTTTGAAGTCGAATAGGCTATGCGTCGTTTAGTTATGGTGAAATGATGCAGCATAATACACAAGTTGTATCGCTCGAGGTTTCACTTTCCTAATTTGACATTCAGGTACAAAATAGTTGGAGTTATTACAAGGTAGTTGTCTGCTTGTCCAGAGTTAATATGGATACGTGCGTCTGTTCTAACTAACTGCAACCTTCGGCTCCAAAACCCTAGTTACGAAAAAAGGCATTCGCCGGAACACAACAACTTAATTGCAAACTCGCTAGTTCAAAATTACGGAGATCGTCGCGGTATTTACAACACATTTTTGATTATAATCGAAGGTCCTCGATCGGCGTTGTACAATTGGCTGGTATCGCCTCTAGGACATGCCTGGACACCCGAGCATCATCAGCCGTCGCTGCTTTGAAGTCTGTTTAGCAGCTGGATGTTCTGGCAAGGAGACTCGGCGGCCTTCCTGAAGCGGTTTTGGCGGTTCCTAGAAAGTTCAGGACATTTGGATGTTATTTTCAGGAATCCAACCTTCCAGAGTCTCCGTGACCCCGCCTGTGCTTGGCTGAAGACGTTGCAAGAAACGACGGCTAATCGACGTCAGTGGCGTTCGTGCTGTCAGTTTCTTTCCAATTGTCCGATTGAGCGGTTGGAGGTGTACGCATCTCGGAGTGCTTGGCATAGGCCCGAACTAGGTCCCCTCCCTCACCCACTCTTTTTCTCTTCTTTTCACTCTAGGGCTTTTAATACTATACATATATATATATAACTAGACGAGCCTTATGGCTGTATGGCAGCGAAGCATTAGTCCCAATACTGATGTCGCTGTCTTTGATGATGATGATGACCTTACAGAAAGCACCCACTTTTGACCTATCAGCGTAGGAATGCATTTACAGGTCAAGTTGAAATAGTTCCACCTGCTTTCTGACTATCGGTCTAGTGTTTAGGTTGCAGCAATGGGTCTGTCGCGTACGGTGCGAGTGGAGCACTAGCTTGCCTTGGAAGGCCCATGGCTTCAAACAACAGACTGATCTAAAAATTGTTCTGCCGCCTATGGGATCGGTCACTCGATCGGTCGTAGGTGATTAAAATACCGTTTTGATATTGGTGACGCCATCCGGATGCTATAAGTCACCCGACCGGTTCCTTTGAGGATGATTCGGACACTCCGATTTCTATTAATAGTGCAATAACCCCATACGGCTTCCAAGTCGGAACGTCGACTTCCCTTTATCTGATTGAGAGGATACAAATGTTGGCAGGATAGTGTCGTGTTTCAGCCCCCTGTTCATCATAACTTCCGCTCAGAAGCGACCGCCAGGAGAGTGGTTCAACAAGGAATTGCCAATAACCTTTGTCGTGATGCCTTCCTTTACTTTACTCTCAGCCTGACCATTCGACTGCGGATGGAATGACGGGTAAGTATTGTGCGTGATGCCGAGCCTTTAAACAAAATCACTCCTCCGATGGAATGTGAACTGAGTGCAGTTTTCCGGCGCTGGGAAGCCGAATTTTGAAAACGGATGCTACGGTTCAGTGATGTTTGCCATCATCGCAGTCTCATACATAACAAAAATTTTAGGTTACTTACTGAAGCCATCAACAATGACGAGGAAGATTTAACTGTCAACTGGTCCAATGAAATTAACATGAATGCGCGACCATGGTGTTCCTTGTTGTAGCCAGGGTTTCGATGGTTCTCGTCTGGTGCGGTTGCGCACTGGAAGCAGCTCCGACATACCTACTCCATATGTTCATCCAGTCGGGTCAATAAACGTAGCGTGGGGCAAAGATTTTCGTGCGCCTTATGTCCACATACTCATTATGAAAATGAGCCATCCCTCAACAGCGAAGCTTGCTCAAAACGACGATCCAGTTACCGAAAAGAAGACCATCATCAACAACAATCACCGAACTCTGTCGTTGAAACAGTCCTCTGAATGGGCGGTACCTCCAATGCATTGTGTAGGACGTCGTCACTTTTTATGGCATCGCCAACCATGTCAAAAGCCGCCGACTGTTTGAGCTGTTTTATCCTTAACGCGAGAATGCTTCCCACGTATATTGTCTCTGAACTCAAGTCAGTTAGTATAGCGCTTTCCTACCAATTATGTATCGCTTAGGCGAGCCATTGATTCAGCTCCCAACCAGGGGATGTCGGTGCGATTGGTCACGCGACTGTCAGCTTGAAGAGTTTTCAATCCAATCAAGTTAATGACTTGATTACTGATTGATTCTGACTAGATAGTTTTTATGACAGACCGTAGTTTCAGTTGTCACATGTGCGTTGGGTGGGGAACACAAGAGATTCCGCAAACCATCGTTCTGCGTGCATCGAAAGGCCTGTTTGAATCGGTCGGATTTGCTCAACCGAGGTGGTGTAACATACTGCTGGGGTTTGTTGAGTAATGACTGAATGTATTCCAAGCTCGTGCTTTTGGAATGCGTTCTCAGGCAGTACAGTTTCAGTTACCTCCTAGTAAGAGAAGGTCGGTGATCGAAGAGTTGCCATCGCTTCCAAGAATTGAGTGCACCACACTGTCCCGCTTTCCGGTGATAGAAACTGTAACAGCTAAAACCATTGTGTTTATGGTGCACGTTTCATAGCTGATGACTTAAATTGAATTGACCTGCTAGTAAGCAGCATCGCACTCGCGGAGACTTCCGGCTTGACCAGCCGGAAGGGTCGGATCTCCTTGTTGATCAGATGCTTTTCGTACTACCCATTTCAAAAAAATTAATGGTGCATATCAGTTCAACTTTGTTTCGTGTGGTCCCGCCTGTTCTTCCCCTGGAAAAGGTTAACCGCGGTGAGCGCAATGTCGAATGTTACATCCCGATATATAATGCATCCCATCATACTTGATCGTTGTATTTATTTCAAGTGTCCGCTGTCTGATTAAACTGGATTTTGATGGAGTGCACCTTACGAGTTGAGGTGTGGGACGACTCTCGTGAACAAAGATCACGGTATGATTCATCCTGTTCAGAGTTGGGTACACACCAGTCCTAACAGTAATTATTTACACACCGATTAAACTTAAGATAGTAGTGCTGTGAAACGAGGTGGGTGGCGAAATGTCAATATGGACCTCCCTCCACAAAGGCCTATTACGTCATCCACAAAGAAAATACCATCATCATATTTTCTCAGAAGAATTACTTCCCAACACCTTCCGAAAGGGACTCGCTGTTGCTTGATCCAATTATAGACAGTTCTACACCCATCATTTTTGGCTCCAGTAAAATTTCGTTCCTTTGGTTCCGCTATATGAACGGACTATCATTCTGGAGCAGCATTACTGTGAACTTCGGTTAACTTCGTGATAACAGCGTGCACGCGGTAACTTGTGCAGATGGGCCTATAACACGACACGATTCATTCATCTGCTTGCAACGTTTCAGACCCAAACGTCCTTCCAGACATGGTGTGCGAGCCCACTCATATCCTCCATCTCTCCAAGGATCACCATCTTAGCGGGTTCAAAAGTGTCTTTAGGTCAAGCGAGCTGATAATAAAGGTTCGTGGAAAGAGGGATTATTGATGTCACTTCATCGAAAACGAACAGTCGCATAAACTCGAGCATAGGTTCAACATAGTTAGGTTTCAACAGTGCGCTTTCTTAATTGCTAGTTGTATTTTGTGTCAAACGTCCGAAGACTTCTTATAACAGCAAGCTGCAGTGTTTTCAAGGTAACGAAAAACGGGCGAATTATCAGAGATGTGAACTACCCGTCCCATGGTGTCTAAACTACATATGTTCATGCTGTTTATCGGGCGATCATGCCGATGTTCAATTCGCGGCTTCACGTGATATTTCGATTTAAGTGCATGGATCTGCCAGCATTCAAAGGCTGAAGCCGTGATATTGTCTTCACTTTATCATCCTCCGGTTTCACTCCTACAGAACATGTCAGTGTAGTCAAATCAAGTCATATAATTAATAGATAAATGGGAGTGGGGCATAGTGCCAATATACTGAACCGAGTACCAAAGGTTCGGAACAGAGCTGACAGCAAAGTCGCCAGCGATGGACTGAATTATCATTTCTGCCCATATAGGTCAGCTTGGTGGAGAGGACTATAAAAGTGCAGGTATTGTCAGACCAATCTGTCTTCCAAGATGGGGTCTGTATTCGGCTGGAGAAATTGTAGAGCATAACCGCTAGTCGCTGTTACTGAAGTCTGTTCCCGTCCAGATTGTCTGAGTAAGTGTATAGCCTGCCAAATGTTTGGCAGGATAGTAGTGAGTACACTCCCTTCTATTTTGCTCTCTTTTAATATTGACATGGTTGTGCCGCGGTCATCACCATCATCATAATCATTTTCAGCTGTGATAACACTCGTTGTATTGTACAGTAGTTGCAGCTGCCGCAGTTTCGTTCACCGATGATTTGTGGAGGGAGGGGTAGGTAGCTGCGCATTGCAAGCGGGAGCTGATAAATTGGTGCATAAACCCAGCACTGTCACTGGGCAGTCAAGTGGGGGGGGGTTGGAAAAAGAGCTATGCATTGAAGGCAATAGCTTGGATGCACGAGCGCCATTGAGGGCGCGACTGGGCCATTTCTGACAATGTCTCTAACCATTGATATGACCCGTCTCTGGGTCCCCATCCAGAAAGACGGCAATGACCGGGACAGCTGAGTTTGCTAGTAATGGTTTTTGTACTTTGCTGTCAAATCATTGTTTGACTGCTGTCTTCCACCCTTCACACGCCTGTGCGAAAAGAGCCTTTCGAGGAAGTCGGTCGACTGGCAT